AGTAAGCCATAAATTGTTTATAAAATGCAATTGAACGCGACAATTGCATTTCTGGCCGTGAACATGTGGTGATTATTTGCTTACTGTCGCCTGTTTTGCATGATGATGATATACAATGTCCCCCTTCGGGGCTGCCTGTTGTGGGGCTAAATCCCATTTCAACCTGAAGTTTGCGCCTTTTCTACAATCTTGGTGCACTCATTTGCACAACTGGCCTGAAGCAAAGAGAACGCTCACTTATTTTGCTGAAAAATGCCTAACCCGGCCATTGTAAGAGCATTTTGATCTCAAGTGTAATTACGAGCAGCGTCTCATGAGAATGGTCAATTTGCTATGAAGCCTTTGAAGCCATCGTTGCTCAAAGATATCAAGCCTACAAACGCAAGAATCAAATAAAACTGATTAGTATTTCTTACACTTTACTGCTTTTCCTTTGATCACGCCCTCCGAGAATGGGACTCCCTACCTCCTCATACAATCTGCCAGGTCTCCCATTATCGCAGGGGCAATATCACTAGAATTTACGTCTCCCTATCTCTTTCTTTTAATCTCTGTTCCCCCTTAGCAAGGATGTAAGGACCAAACGGTCTGTGTGTGTTCGCAGGCTCCATTCGCTGTTTAGACTCTGCTTGACCTCACATTTGGGATAGGGTCGAATGGTTGGAGCACTTCTGAGAATGGATGTCACACTGTGTGATGCGTACTTTTAATATAGGGTCGTTTGGTAAATGCATCACTAGGCGCTTCGCCGGCCTTGTGACCTGCAACTTCAATGAGAAACGACAAACGAGGTAACTAGTCACAACTTGTCAGAATAATTACCCAACCTCCCTGAGCCAGAATCATTAACTGCTTAAGACCCGAATTCACTTATCGAAACATTAATATAAGGTGGGTTTTTAAATTATCGGCAAATCGTGAATAAAGGTTCCAGACAGCCTAGTTGCATAAGTTGATGAAGGATGGAAAGTTGATTTTTCTCACACTCATGGGAGTAGGTTCCAAGTTTCTATTCAATTTCACACAACTTTGCCTCCAAAAAGGTGTCCACATCATGATTGAACTGGGCTGTAGTTCTGACTTCATCCAATCGCCAAATGACAACATCCCCCGGCGGGACTCGGACCCGAGTGGCGTTGCACATAAACTCGACAAGTAGCTGGCTTCAAATCCCATTAGGTGTACAGATGAAGACCAATTAAGGTGGAAACTGCAGTTCAAGCCAGCTTGGATGATAATACTTTTTAGAAAGGAAGTCTAAGTTAAATTGAGTGAAATAGTTAGGTCTACCCATCAGTTTGTGGAAAAATTTCAACTGTGGATTCTCAACATCTTGGACTTCGTATCTATAGTTCCGCGTATTCAAGATTTATTTAAAATCTATAAGTATATGTTTAATACCGTCTATCACATTACTTTAAGTCATAGTGATTAGAGTAAAAGTGTTTGGGTGAAGAGATTCGAAGTTCGATTCCACTATAAGACGACGGCGGATTCCTCTTGGCCAGCTGTCGATTGGCTTTACTGGAACAGTCATGGTAACGTTGTTTCCGAGCTAATCTTCTTCAATTCCGGTGAAAAGGTCCTAAGCTTTCGTCCGTCATATGACGAACATCATCAGAGCAAGGTATTATCCTTAAAACCTAACGAGTCAAGTCTATTTGTAATACAGCCTACCAGTCGTTTGGCTCTGACTTAGTTCAGTCTTCAGGTTCGGGTTAAAATTGGCTGAGATTCTGCCCGTTAAACCACTTGACGAACATCTTCAGTGTTCGAACTCTTTCCTGCAAAAGCTTCAAGTGAGCTTCAAGTCAAACAGACTATTCTATAATACATGAATTCTCACAAATAAAAGCTACAATATAGTTACAAATAGACAGATCTATAAACATTTGCTTGGTTATCTTTCATATCATTGTGGGTACTTAAACTTGAGTACAAATGTGCGTATACGTGTAAATCAGAGTAGGATGCATTCACCCAATTTCGTTTAAGGTGATGAGGGACTGGTAGAAATAGAATGATATTATTTGAGCTGACGTTTCCATTGAATTTTCACATAGCTTTGCTTTCCCAAAAGTTGTTCTCATCCAGGGTGGACTGCAGTTTCGACCTCGCATTTGACTTATCAACACCCTCAGCGGGACTCGAACCGCGACAGTGCAGGAGGGTAGCTTGACACGCTAACCACTCGGCTACACTGCCACAAGTGCCTTTCGGGTCACAAGGCAAACGTGAATTTTCAAGGAAGGCCGGGCTTTTTGTCATATCATATGCTTTTTTTTGTGTGGAATTGTCGATGAAGCAAACGTATGTTTTGCTATAACAATCTACTACTATACTTTTTTTTTCGAATTAAGTATAGTAGTCGATTGTTATAGCAAAACATACGTTTGCTTCATCGACAATTCCACAAAAAAAAAGCATATGATATGACGAAAAGGCCGGCCTTCCTTGAAAATTCACGTTTGCCTTGTGATCCGAAAGGCGCTCGTAGCAGTGTAGCCGAGTGGTTACCGTGTCAAGCTACCGTCCTGCACTCTCGCGATTCGAGTCGCACTGAGGGTGTTGATAAGACCAATGCGAGGTCGAAACTGCAGTCCCCCCTGGATGAGAACAACTTTTGGGAATGCAAAGCTATGTAAATATTCAATGGAAACGTT